AAATAGCCACTAACAAAATGCTAATTCTTCAAAAAAATAGTCTTTTTGACAACTCTTTCACACATATAGCCAAAATGACCTCGTGAGAAGGGTAAAAGTAAAGCTTTAAAGTATAAAAATCAGATTGTCTATATAAAAAAAGAGTTATCACAAAGTTTTGGTTAACGCCTGATGCGAAAAGTAATTACAAGTTACGCCATTATGGTGGCGCCACCTGTAAATATTCCAAAATTAACATCTTCAGGGGTTAACCAAAACTTTGTGAGAACTCTTTTTTATATTGGTAATCTGATTTTCATATTTTAAATCTTTACTTTTACCTTTCTCATTTTCACCATATGTATCAAATAAATTAAATTCAAAATAAACGATATTTTTTTCTCATAGCAGATATTCTATTCTGCCGACGCATTGACCATCGAAGCCTTGGGCATCAGAGCTTCGATACTGATACATGCCTAGGAGGATGGACATCACTTGAACTCACATCGAACATAGTTTTTAAACGCAAGATGCAAAACGTTTTTCTGATTACGGAAAACTTTGCATCATGCAACTTCTACAATCCGATAAGAGTACAGAAAAAGGTCGAACTTACCCTCTAAAATTTATAAAGTTTGAAGCACTGGAAGAACAACTCTTTAGCAGTATAGTACTTTAGAAAAAAATCTCACCATAAACAGATTTGGCGGTTGCCTTACTGAATTAATTATTACTTTATCCAATTCCTTCAGATCTATTATATCATCATAGTTTGCTGTTTGTGATTGTGTTGCAAGATCTTGTTTATAAAATTTATTTCCAATAGCTATTTGTATACCAGTTAAATTTTGTTTTGTTATTTCGCCTAATTTAATACTAGGTGTTGCTTCACAAATTTCAATAATATCAAAAATATTTTGAAAAACACAACTAATACGTTCTATTAAATCTGCAGCACGTCTTTCAAATACCGCTAAGATAAATAAAAAGACAGTGAAGGAACTTCATCAGACTTCGGTCTTCACTAGTTTTGAAGAGAAAATATTGAAAAACTAATTTTCTTCAGAAGGAATTTGATTGACAAAAGTTACTGAGAAATACAAAAAATATCTCATGATTGAAACAAGTTTTTCAAGTGAATTTTTATAGTGTCTCTAATTACTTCAGACGTGTTTTTTCAAAAAATTCCATTTAAAACTTTTTCCTTTATCCACTCATGATCCGAGAAACTAAAATTAGATTATGAAGTTTATAACCTTTCTTCGCTTAGATCTGCTTTTCATCTTTTTAATTTAATAATAACAAAAGTAGTCATTACAGTCAAGAGGATAGGGTGAAAGCTGAAAACGAATGTTGACTATCTCACTAGCGAAAAAGATGAACGAATATTTTTGACAATAGTGCAATTATACAAATCATTTAACGGATGTAAACGATGCATATCGATACTCCATGTACTATTTGAAACAACTTACATGTTCTTTTATTTTTGCTATTGTTGTGGTCATATCCGACGGTGTAAGGTTGGTACGTAATCCATTCAATATCGGTTTTAGATATTCACGTGCTTCTGATGTAAAACGATAAATACGCTTGCCAAATAAATATCGTATAATCAGTAAATGTTCTAATGACGGAAGATCAGCATTTACAATTGTCTTTTCTTTGATGAAATTCTTATTGGATATAACCCAATACAAAAACCTTTCATACAGGCCTAGCAAATAAAAAACGACATAAAAAGGATAACGTATCTTAAATGGGTGCACCGCACTTTGTTGAATGTATAGAAAGAGTAGACGATCTGTTATAAAATTCAGAGGATAAAATTCAACTGAGCGTTGGATGCCTTTTTATCTGCTATATTTGCAAAAATATCAGGCCATCTGTTGCCGGTAGTCGGTACTAATATTGTCAAAGATCGATCTTTTAGTTGTTTGGAATAAGTCATTGTTGCTTTGTCATGCTGGTAAACTCCATTAAACGCATTAATAATCATCGTTTGGCATGTATTTGCTTTAACTGATAAAGGGTCAAAAAATGCCATATCGTTCAGAGGCTTGTCTTCATCTGACGAAATAAATTTCTGAAAAAAACACTTATTATTCTTTTCAAGTCTCTTCAGAACATCTGATTTTTGGACAAATATATCGAAGTTTTGTCGGTTTTTATCGTTGAAAAAATATAAGTGGACTTCTGAATCTAATCAAAGTTTTCCGGAACTGCCTTTGCGAGAAATTTCATTCAAATTTCTGCTTCAGAAAAAACAACGGATTCTTACTAACTTAAAGACCTATTCTCCTCAGTGAAGCCTTTTTATCTGATAATTAATGCTGTAGGAGACTATTCTCTGTTCGTATCTTATGATCTCGAATGTGCAAGGTCGAATAGGGGAAGTAAAAAAAGAACTGAATAAAGGACAAGGAACAACATTGGAACAAAGGACTTTTTGTTGAAAATCATTGTGGGATTTACAGCTCAGATCTTTGCGGATCATTCCCCTTTCATAAATCTTTTCACAGCGCTTTTCCAATATCAATTAGCATCCCCATTGTTGTTTTCAGGGGCAACTAAAAGAATTCTTATGAAAAACCTGCTGAAATCTCCATCACAACTGAAAACCTTTTTCAAGAAAGATGTGGACAAGAGCAACATCGGAACTAAAAACCTTACTCATGCGGATCCGAAAAAAATTACAACAAGGAAACTTATCATTTTTCAAACCTTTAATTACGTAAAATTTAAAGTAAACCTAAAACTTTCCTCTAGCGACAACTTGCTGCCTGACGCATTTCCAGCAAACTTACCGACACTTCTCCAGAGAATCAGTCAGTTTAGCATCGGTCACGTCTTCAATACAACTTGAATGAAAATCACCATTAACTTTTAGTTCATCACGATAATAGCGTTCAACAAAAGCAAATGCTTCACGTATTGTTTTGATATATTTACTCTTATTCGATACTGAATATACAAAACACCCAAATAAGGAATACTCTACAGTTTCTGATCTCTTAATTATCATACCACTTGCACCACGTAAAATACCAAAAAGTTTAGGTGGAACATAATCGTTGCTGTCATCTTTGTATAATTTTGATTCATCTGACCTACAATATACAGAAACTGCTTGGTACATCCTTTTCAGCATACTCATTAACCAAACGATTTTCTCAGTTCAAAAAACCGTAAATGTCAAACAAACTGATACCTGACCGATCTCTCGTGCACAATTACATAAATATGATTTGACTTCACTTACCAATGCATTACCGAAACCATAAAACAAAAAAATAAGCTTGAACCATGTAATTTTTGCGCAGTATAATTTTCAAAAATATCAACTAAATATGGCTGCCGATCAAATATATCATGCAACTGACAATTTGCCGTAATTTCTTTACAGAGAGTTAAATTCCTCTCATCGATATTATTTAAATCGCGATCTTCTTTCACTTTTCTATAATTGTAATTCGTACACATTGTACCAACGGCCGACACTATCTGAAAGTAAACTACACATTTACAGAAATGCTAAGCCTGGCAAGCTCATCAATCCACTATCTAAATCAAGACTGTATTCATAAAACCAACGAAGGTTCAAATAGCTTTCAAAGCCTAAAGTCTATGCAACAACACCCACCGCTACGCACGTCATCAGAAACCTCTGATGACTTCAAAGCCCCAAACCCGCCAAAACAAAACACACATAGCGTATCATCCGCTACTGCGCAGCTCACTAATAAAACAAATCTAGTGTCACTTTTAGGTCCACAGATCATCATTTATAATATACACAGGGTAATACCATCCAGTCTTCAAGTCGTCAAAAGTAAAATTCATACGGTATTATCTTTCAGTTCTCAGGTCACCATTTATAACTTACTCAGCGTAATACCTTCTAGTCCTCAAGTCGTCAAAAGTAAAATACATACTGTACTATCTTTCAGTTGTCAGATCGTCATTCGTAACATACATAGGGTAATGCCTTCCAGTCGTCAAGTGGTCAAAAGTAAAATACGTACTGTATTATTTTTCAGTACACACAGCGTCATTTAGAACATACAAAGGGTAATACCTTCCAGTCGTCAAAAGTAAAATACATACGGTATCATCTTTCAGTTCTCAGATTGTCATTTATAACATATATAGGGTAATGCCGTTCAGTTCTCATGGGAGTAATGATAAAATACTCAGGGTATTACCTTTCTGTCGTCGGTACCTTAGGGTATTGGGATTATGAGACCCCTTAAATATTATGAAAAAGCCAGCAGTTTTTTTCAAATCATTTCCGTAGCCGAGTTTTGTTCTTTGTATGACAGTCTTAGTGGGTGTATCCACACCCTTTTCTTTAAACTAGCCCTCGCGATAATACAGGAGATGGGAAAATGTAAAGCAATGAGTCAGAGCAATGAGATATAGAGTAAACGATATAGAGTTTTTCGACTCACTGGCATATTTCTGATTATGAGACAAGAGTTGAGCCAATGCTCCCATAACCAAAAATCGCAATTCTTTTCCCTTGATGATCCAAATTACCACTTTTGTCTAAAGAAATTCAAAATTTAAATTTCGTTCTTGTTAAAATTAATTTCTTTACCATTTGGATCTTGTATAGATTCTTTGAGTAAAGTAGCAAAATGATGCAAACGTGCAATAAGCAGTTCGACAAACTCAATTCTCTTAGAGCATCTTTTAATACGGCATTAAATTTAAGAATACGTATAAGATATTTGGCACAATTGTTGTTACTTTATACAAAACTAAAATAGAGAGACGAAATCAGTTTTTAAAAAAAACATCTGTTTCTAGACATAAAGGACGGGGTGCGATACGAACGAGGATCGGCTCCATTTCAGATCTTCTCGAAGGCTATCTAGAATGAAAGAGCATCCAATTTTATAGGGTTCTACACCCCTGGTTGCCCTTCGGACCTCATATCTGCCAGAAAATCGATCAGCTTTGAACAATAGCTCCGTGAGCCCATTCCAAGGCGTTTTTTGAAATTTCTTTAGAATACAACAAGTTTGAAGGAAAGTCGTATATACCGTTCAATGCAGTTTTAAACGGCGAACAAAACTATCTATTGCTCAATTGTTATGTACACCGGTCACACCCACGTTTTCGGAATATTACTGTTAAAAATGAGCTTTTCAGCATAGCCCACGATAGCATTTCAACCTTTTCACCATGAGAAAACCCAGGTTGCGGTCCACATTATATATCGAAGGAAAGCTCTTTCAATAGTCTACAAAATGGTGGGCAGCTCATTTCTAGTGTGCGAACACTCATTTTTTGGGATATTACGACTGAAAGGTGATGTTTTCAAGTATACTGACGGATAATGATTCTGTGTTTTCACCATGAGAGAACTTAGATTGCGGTCTACGTTATAGATCAAAAGAAAGCTCTTTCAAAACTCTACAGAATGACTGGTAATTCATTTCTAGTTGGAAGTGCGAACACTCATTTTTTCGGATATTACTACTGAAAAGTGATGTTTTTGGCATCGACGGATAGGCTCAATTCATCTAAAACCTACCACCACTTACATCGACGTTTGACATTAGTGACCAGATGTGTCTCGTGTTATAGAACTCAGCAAGCTCAACCGAATGGTGAAAACCGCAAGTCTCTAGCCTTGTTACAAAAAACGTTACACCCATTCTACTCTCGCAGCGGCCAAATACATTTTTTGGCGGAGTTGGCCTAACTTATAGAACGTCTGCTGACCGCATTCCCTAACGTAGAACCTTTAAGTCGGTATCAAATGAAAGAGCGCGTCGAGTTCTATAAGTTTCAATGAAGAAGCTTTATGCCAGGCTTTGGAGTCTTGAGATAGTCATTTCTGAAAAACTCAGTTTTCTAGAAAACTCAGTAACCTTAAAACTTTTTCAGAAGTTTTTCAACCATATCACTCGATAGACCCTTCAATTCCCCACAAAAGAAGATGCTGAGCACGTTTCTACGATGTTCGACCACCGAGTTACAGGCTGTTAGACATTACAAATATAAACTCATTGGCTTTAATACCGAATTTTCGATCGGTATCGTATTTTCTATGGCACTTTAACAGAACATCCTAGAAACGTGCGCAGCATCTCCTTTTGTGGAACATTGAAGGTCTATCGACTGATATGGTTGAAAAACTTCTGAAAAAGTAATATTTCGAAAACGTGGGTGTGACCGGCGTACATAACAATTGAGCAATAGATAGTTTTGTTCGCCGTTTAAAACTGCATCGAAAACATGCAATTCTGACTACAGATTCGAGTTCAGCATTGAAAAATCAATCAGCTGGAATAGAAAACATTGCTTGGATACACTTTATAGATTATTTGTTGAACAGGCGATCAATTTGACAAGACACTAATTCACTTTCAGATTTCATCGGATTAAAGTACCCATAAAGTCAGATACTGATGCTCTTTCTGGTGGTGATATTGAAAAGTGAAATGCCTGAAATTCTAGCAGCCCAGATTTCTGCCCAAGGTTAAAAAGTGGCAATTTTTTTTATTTCATTATTTTGAAGTTTCGATATCATCAACAGAAAGAGCATCAGAAACTGACTTTATGGGTAAAGTTTTAAATTTTTTCATCCATTTATTGAGGAGATCGGCATGCATCAATCAGGACCACTTTACTCGAAAAGTGGGTTCTTTCGCAAATTCTAGGGAATGTTCTTTTGTAGTACTTTAATCCGATGAAATCTGAAAGTGAATTAGTGTCTTGTCAAATTGATCGCCTTTTCAACAAATAATCTATAAAGCGTATCCAAGCAATGTTTTCTATCCCAGCTGATTGATTTTTCAATGCTGAACTCGAATCTGTAGTCAGAATTGCATGCTGAATAAGAATTCGAGTATTAAATGATCTGATGTCACGGTCAAAACAACAGAAAAAAGGGGTGGTTTTTCAAGTAGAAGGGGGTGAAACCGTAGAAGAGATCTTAAAAATGTTTCGGATTCGACAATATATACACCATTAGATAGAGCATGTCTTCCTCTACAAGCTTATATATATATCTCGTTCTGGGTCAAAAATCACCCTAAAACTTATAGTTGCCTTTGTATTCCTTCACACTTCAAAGTTTTATTTCGTTTTAGTCTCTTCACTATCAACTGACATTCATCCAAATGCTCGATGGCAAAAGAATGGTCTCACTGTGGCTGGAGGAAATGGATATGGCAATGGAATCAATCAACTCTACTACCCATGGGGTTTGTATGTTGATGATGATGATCAAACAATCTA